CTGGATGCATGACAGAGATTTAGTTGAGAAAAAAAGGGGGAGTTAAGCTCTCTCAGCTCTGCTAGCTGAATTACTCAGACGCAGCAGGCTTGGATGGGAGGTCAAGTTATGGAATGGCTGCACTCAGTAGAAATTCCACCAGCAAAGCTTCTTTCAACAGTCTGCAAATTTCAGTATTTGCTGGTTGGACGAGTCTCTCTGCCTGAGCTAACTGGGGTAAGATCCATGGGAGCAATGAATGATCATGGACCTTTTTACTTGAAGCACTCCAATAAGTAAAGGTTGCACTTATTCCAAGTGTCTCAGAGTCTCCGGTTTGTCATGTTGGTCATGGGCCTGTCCTAGTTTCTATCTGGCAACAGGATATATGTTGGATATGATATTTTGTTCGGTTGGAGCCAGAAAACATGAAGGAGGCCTCTCTAAGTCTTCTCAGAGACAGATCACACTTTAGTGAGTTTTAGACTAATAGCTGCTATAAATCTCTGGTAGAAGGGGGAATAAACTACAACGATCCAACCTAGGCACTTGATACAACTGGTCTCCTGTAGGCACTTCGAGAATATATCACCTCGTTTGTCACTGGTGTTGTTGGAATCTTGGGTGATCAGTGAAACTCTAAAAGTCCCACATAAGCCAATCTCCTTATAGCACAGCTCAGTTGGCTCAAGTGGACCAAGTCCATTTCTTGAAAAAGGAGAAAAAGGAGAGGCAGAGGACTGCCTCTGAGGACTAAGAATGACTGCTATACACTAGATCACATGTGTAATAGAAACATAATTTCAGACAACCCTTGGTGTCCTGATCCTCCTGTTACTTATTGACATTGCTTTCACTTCTCCCTTGTGTAAATAAAATAATCAGGAGAAGCTGTATTCTGAGCAAAGGTGACATTAAAATAGAATAGGTGATAGAGATAAGGAAAAAGGAACTGAGAACACGCAACACCTGGAAATCACACTGACCAGCCATAAGAACACCGAAGCTGGTCAAACTCCATATTTCTTAATTTCTATTCTCCTTTCCACTCATTGCAGTTACATAACACAAAGTTTAATAATTAAATTAAATATTACAATTAGTTATACATTTGCCAACAGCCGAGTGTAGCTTATAGTCTCTAAATCTAGAGAAATTCAGACCAAAAATTCATTCTCCAGCCTTTCATTGAAACTATAATATATTGTCCCAAAGGTGCTTTTTTCCAAAAGGCAATTGGACTTTAAATAAAAATAAAAATTCAGTACTCATCCAAGAATGAGATGAAGAAGCTTCTTGGATGAGAAGTGAAACATTTAAAAGCATTTTCAAAGAAAAAAACCCCAAGAAGTCCAGTTGCCTTTTGGAAAACAGCACCTTTGGGACAAACTATGACAGTGGTGGTGAACCTATGGCACGGGTGCCAGAGGCGGCACTCAGAGCCCTCTTTGTGGGCACGCGCGCCGTCGCCCCAGGCCTTCAGCTGGGTTTTATAAAACCTTTTCGCTTTAGTCCTCCGCCGCCGTGTGCAAAAGAAAAAAAGGTTCAATCAATCAGTCAATTTCAACTTCTTGCGGGGAAAAAAAAGATCTCGCAAAGTTGGAATTGATTGATTGAACTTTTTAGTCCCACCTAGTCTGTTGTTACCACCGCAGCCAGGCCCAGCCAATGGGCCACACCCATCCAATGGGCCACACCCACCCGGCACCCAACGATGCATAAGTGGGTTTTGGGTTGCAGTTTGGGCACTCGGTCTCTAAAAGGTTCGCCACCGCTGAACTATGACCTGGAAAATTGCAAATCTCTCTAGACATATAGGACATACTCTATACCGATTTATACTGACACCTGCCTTCAGCTGATAACCTACACTTCAGAAATTAGTTGCGGAAAATAATAGTTTGCTAAAAATTAGATGTTCTCTCTTTCTGTGCACCAGCTCTGCAAGTTATCTGTTAGGCACAGTAATATTTCAACTGCATCCCTGTCTCCGTGATAACAAAATTCATATACAGGATGTGTGTAAATTGTAAGGCTGGCATCCATCATCTTGGCTGCCTTTGACCCACAGCTGTATGCAAAGGTTAGGCATCCTTGATCATACTGCACATTTCAACGACTCCTAACAGAAATTCAATTAACCTCTGTTTGGTACAATTAAGCACGTCATTTTTATGCCAAATTTAATACGTACTTTTAATCTGCAACAGTTTTAAAGATTTAAAATTAGATAGTGATTATGGCTGGTGCAGAAGCCTGGCTCCTGTTCTGTCAGCTCTTTGTACTAGCTTCTTTAGCAGAAATAATCGCTTCCAGAAATTTCTTATAGCCACCCGAGTTAATTTAGCTTACTTGGGAAAAATTGGAAATGGCTCTTCTAAGATCCTGGAGGATGAACCTGCTCAACCTTTCCCACAGAGAACATAGGATCGATTCCAGAGACAAGGGCAATTACTGTGCCGTAAGATAGCTGCATAATCTCCAAAAATGTCAGGCTGGAATGGACTTTTGCTTGTTCTACAACTAGTACTAGCTCAAGATCTAGAAAGGGATTAGTAGTTCAGCAAATCTTGTAGAACTTATCCCTAATTTCACCTCCAATATGGGGCTCATCTAGCTATAAATCATGGCTTCTGGCTTGAATCATGGCTTCTTGGCTTCAGTTGCTGAGGTCATTTTTTTTTTTTTCGTCATTTGTTTAATTTTCTGACAGTTGTGCCAGCAAAGCAACCTTGAGCTCTGGAAGGTCATATTATGCATTGCTGCAGAGGCTCAGAGCCCAAACGGTTGAATCTCAGAAACCACAATGAGGAACTGGCAGGCAGGCAGCGAAGTAGAACAGGGGAGTCACAGTCTACAGTGTTATCACAATCCCCCCCCCCAACCCCCAATCCCCAAATGTTCTACATTTTCTTTCATGGAGGCTGGTTACACATTCTCTTCCTGGTAATTTATACAATAGGTCTTTCCCTGAGAACTGGTACAGAATGCCAGGGAAAGGCATGTACAGATGTAGGGCGTCCAAGCAGCACGTCAAAAAGTAAAAAACCAAAGCTAACACTGACTGTTTCAAAGGGGGAAATGATGAGCCTTCCTTCAAACTGAAATATTTAAATGAATACACTGAATCTCACACTAATGAACACAGGAATTATTTCAAGTTGTACTAAAATTGGAATTTTTTTTTAATGAATTCTCATGGCACGCTTTCCTAACGTTGAAGACGACGTTAAAATATGAAAGCAAACTGAACACTTAAAAACAAAAGGCCTTATGTTGCCACACATATGCTGCCAAGAAATGTTATTTTTTTTATTGTTGAATGGGCTGACAGTCAATGTTGCATTATTGATCCATGCATATTTTATACATGAATGTTATGTGTCACGATGCAGTACTCTGTGTGCGTGAAAATGTGTATGGCTAACTACTGGTGACTGCATCTACTTCAGTTAGCATCCCTCTCATCTTAGCGGTACATAAATGCATCAGCTGAGATGTTTTTGAGTTTCTCATTTAACTTCTACAAATGTATATCTCAGTTTCCAATTTAAGAAGAAAAAGGATGTTTTGCATTTTATTCACAATGTTCCCAATACGGCTTTTGCAGTCCCACAACTGTCATACATTCGTGATAGGTTTGTATATTTCATTGGAAAATTGTGACTTCAGTACATAAACCTGTTTTCTTTCATATTCCAGTTGGGGAATTGCAAAACAGATTATAGATAAGCACTTTTCCACTACACCCACTTCAGCAGCTATTGGGTGGGCAAAGTTTAGGCGTGCTTTGATAGAAAGAAGTGCATCCTTTTCTGGGTATCCAGGGGAGGCTGGGAATGACTGTTACCTTTCCCATTTTAGTGGAGAAAGAAAGATAAGTAAAAGTTGAGTTCCTCTTTAAAGTTCCAACCTTTTGCTATTGTTTTAGTGTTTTATAAACACACACACACATACACACACACACACACAAACACTTAGATCTATAGGGCAGAATTTAGTTTCTTGTTTAGAAGCATTCATCCCTACTTAAAAGAATGCTGAATTAGCAATCCCAACGGCTTCAAGATATTTACAATGTTTAATACTTAAATTTTATTGTTTTGTGAACACATTGAAAGAACGCAAAATTCCCATAAATCCTCCAAAGCGGGGTTCTTCTTTCTGCCTCTCTGCTTCCCAGCAGTTTGGACACTGTGAAGCAAATCCCACCCCCACCCACCCCCAAATGTCCAGAAAGGAAGTACAGATTCACCCTTAAACCTGACTCTCCCGTGCTCTCATTCCGGACACAATACATGCACAGAAAGGCAGTATCATGCAGATATCCAACGACCAACAAGGTATAGGCAGGATGAAGGCTGAGAACTGAAGTAGAGGCCGGAGCAAGGCGCTCAGCCTCGGAGGTGAAATGGCCATGCTGGAATCCATATATATATTTATACGGAAATATATAGATATATAGATATATGCATTTTTTTTTCCTGAACCATCCAGCCTACCTTCAACTGGAGAGGATTGTGGGAAGACTTGAGAAATCATGGGGGCCACTGCCTCACCTATGGACAGGCTGGGAGAAGGGATATAACCCAGTCTTAACGGGCCTCACATTCTGGAAAAAGGAATTCACAAACAACATGGCACAGCTTAAATAAGGGGAGAATATGAATGGATTCCCATTGTGCCCTTCCCCTCCACCCATCCCTAGGGGGGGGCATGAGTTCAGGAACACTGGCTGCACTGTAGGTCAACGAGGACCACAAACAGAAGCCAAGAACTGGGTCCAATGGGAACGGAACACTCTCTGGGATTGGACAGAAGCTCTCTCCTCCTCGTCCTAGCAGCACCGTCTGCCAGCTTCTGGCCTCGGTAAGGCAGAGCCCTTTCTCTCTCTCTCTCCCTCCCTCTCTCCATCTGCATGTTGTTCTTAGCTTCTTTCTCTCCCATCTGTGGCCTCTACAGGCCCAATCCAAGCATCAGCGGCTGCAAGTAAGAAAATGCAGAGACTTTCTCTCTTGGGTTTACTCCTCACTCTCCAGCTTCAGACTGACACTCCGGATTTTGGCTCGGGGCTGGGTGCTTCCTGTTCCCTCTCGTTCCACCTGGCTCTGTCCCCGGGAACGCAACAGCTGGCTCTGCTTGCGCAGAAAGTCAACAGGAGCAGGGCAGCCATAACTGCCTTTGCCCAAGGTGGGCCTTGTGGTTCCCTTCGGCGAGTGGGCGAGGGATGCTGCTTCCAGCTGGGCTAGATGGGCAACGTAGCCGTCTGAAAGGAACTGCAAGGAGAAAGATTAAGGCAGTTAATCACCCATTTCTAAATGAGCCACAGCCTTTGCAAAGGGGCCCTTATCACAATGTGGCACGTGCCGCCTAGTCGCTCAGCTGGCTGGGCAGGACCATGGCTGAGCCAACTCCATACCTGGCACTGGCTTTGCAATTTCTTCACAGCCCGGCCCACGATGTAAATTTGGGATGAAGGGAGCCCTAAAGAGCTATAGACTGAGATGTCCTTGGTGGAACCGTAGGCAGCTACAATAGTAACCTCTGCCTACAACAAATAAGCAAAAGACATTTTTAAATTAATTTTAGGCCCTTCCTATTCAAGCAAATGTAGAAGTGCAAAATAATTAAAATGCAGATGATAACAGTACCAAATCCATAAATTAAAATGAATATCAGCACTAATTAACTATTCAAAGGCCTGGTGAAATTGATGCATTACACACTTATGTAACACGTTAAACTTAACTCGCTTTAGACCAGTGTTTCTCAACCTTGACAATTTTAAGGCATGTGGACTTCAACTCCCAGAATTCCACAGCCAGCAATGCTGCCTGTGGAATTCTGGGAGTTGAAGTCCACATGCCTTAAAATTGTCAAGGTTGAGAAACACTGCTTTAGCCCTATTATGGACCAACCCACTTCCAGAGTTACACAGCCTGACCTGGCAGAATATGAGACAAGGCCACCAGATAAGCAAGGCCATGCAGCCTCTCCTGCAGAATGTTAGAACGGAACCAGGAGAGGCCGTTTCTCTGAGAGTTGGGCCCTACTACGCCACCTCAGTCGCATTCTTCCCTTCTTTTCCCTCTCCTTTCTCCTGTGGTCCTCCTCCAGCTTTTTCCACAAGCTCCTCAGTTACACCAGAGTAGAATCTCTATTGTATACCTCTCTTGGTTGTGCAAGAACACAAGTGATTACATACCTCTTGCTGAAGGCCCTGTAGAAAGGCAGCTTTCTGCCGAAGAGGGTCATGGGTGAGGCCATCACAGAAAGAGACAATGCCATGTGGGAAATTATGCTGAGTAAGCCAAGCCACCACTCTGTGCTTCTGCATGTCTGGACGCCCTGTCACGTAGATGATCATGAAACCAGAATCTTGCCAATGTCTACAAAAGCAAAGGGAGAGATGGAGAACAAACTAAAAACCCGGTGTTCTCCAAATATTTCAGTTTACTTCTCCTTAGCAGCCCTTCAACCGTAGTCGCTTCTAGCAAAGGGTTGTGGGAGCGGTATTTCTTAACATCTGAATTGCCTGACCCTATCGAGAGTATGAAGATAGAAGGATTGTATCTAGGGGATATTGTTGGTCCTAATTATGATAAAGCTGTAACGAAAGGGCATGTTGTGTTTGTAGCATTTTTGCATTTATTTCCTTTAAAAAAACGCCCTTTTGAGTCACCATCACTGCATGTTCGAAGAATACTGGTGAGACAGGTTATAAATATATCTTGCCCCTGGAAAAATCACAACAGGTCAGGGAGGGAATAGTGCAGTGAGGGCGAACCTTTTAGAGACCGGGTGTCCAAAATCTGGCCCCGCCCCTGCTCCACCCCGTCCCGCCCCCACCCAGCCTGCCCACAAGGCCACTCACCGCCTCCAGGGCCTGCTGCAGATCGCCCAGGCAGCCCCACAGCGCCATGGAGGCCACGCCCTCTGCCCACGCCCCGCAGCATCAACTGTGCACAATGGGGCACGAGGGCAGATTCTTGTCTACGCTGCCTGGCTGCCATGTCCTTGACTGCGCTGCTCTGCATGGGCCACGCTCGGGGGCGACTCTTCTCCAGGGGGGCTGCTGGTGAGGAGGGGGTCAGGGGGGGAGGCAAAGCTGGGGCAACTGCACGTGTGCCCACATAGAGGGCTCCGAGTGCCGCCTCTGGCACGCGTGCCATAGGTTCGCCACCACTGGAATAGTGAATGCAGTGAGGAGAATAGTGAATTCTCCCTCACTGCAATAAATTTCATGTTTTAATTTATATTGCAGGGTTTTTTTTTCTCATAGAACTCCCAGAACGGAGTTCCGGCACCTTTTTGGGATGGAATCTTGTAGGGTAGGCAAGGCGGGTTGTATGATATGTGTGAGTTCCGGCACCTTTTTTTTTTTCTTCAAAAAAAAAGCACTGTATATAGGGTTTATATAAAGAAATCCTTTCATTTGGTAACTACAGTGAGATTGAAAACAATGGAAAGAATCTGCATTCTGTAACAAATGCATATATTGTTGGTATGAATCCAGTCTGATTCATAGAAAACACTATCAATATCCAACAACCAGACTGTTTATTAAAGCTGACAAAGTGAGTAGACATGCTTCTCTCTTCACTTTTCATAAAAAGAACAGTGATGGTTAGAATGCTATTTTAAAGTAGAAAAAAAAACCTCAGTTGCTTTAACGAAAGCTTCTTCCAAGAAATCCATTCTGACAGCATGTTGGCAGGGACAAATATGGAAGTTGGCATGCAAACTTATTATTAGTGTGAAGGAAAACAGCAGAACTGTTTTCAATTGGTGCTTTAAATTGCTTTTTTGTAACTGTTACTTATTAAACATCTTTTTTTAAAAAATATTTGCACTTAATGGGAAAAAAATAATTAGGGTAAGTATTGGGAGAAAAAGATTTAAAGAATAAGGAAGAATACTAGAAAATAACTCTGTTGAGGAATGTAACATATGTAAGAATTTCTCTATAGTCCTGGCACAGATTTTGGAGACCTTAAGAAAGAGAAACAGTAGATCAGTTAGCTCAAAGAAATACAAGGAGTCTCTGAGGAGGGCTATTCACCTACCTTACCACATCAACAGCACCTGCACGCACCTTGGGGTCACTGCCCATAATGGAGACACTAGCTGTGAAGGAGCCATCAATACTAAAGACGACACAAGGTGTGCCCTTAGCTACCACTGTCAGAAAGCATTCAGCATAGGTGTGATCCCCTCTGTGGAGAGACAGAAAGGTGTCAGCCCAAAAGCAAATATTCCTACACCCTCAGAATCAGAAATGCTCAACTTCTGCATTCAAACAAGCCATGAAGATAGAAGCAAGTGAGGGTGGTTCCCCCCCCCCTACAGTGTAGAAAACCAAAGAAGGAAAAAGCCAAGCAGTTCAACTATTAACTGTAAACCTGCAGAGATCCTGTTGGCGAAGTACACCTCCAAGCATCCCCAACATCGGCCATGCTGATTGGGGCTGCTGGGAATTGCAGTTCAGCAACATCTAAAGAGCCACCAGTTGCTTACTTTCATTGGCACGCAACTGGACTGTAACAACTGAACCTGTATGCTAAATAGTTGCCAAGACCAAATTTGAACCGTTCTGGTCCAGAGGGTCACATCCGACAATCAAGTGCTTGCAATCAACATAATATAAATAATTTTGTGGTGCATTATGGATGATTGCATATATTATGTTACAAGCTTTCCTGGATGGTAGAAGAGAATATCTGGCACAGGAGAGGCTGCCCAAGAGATCAAGCACAGGAAAGGATCTACCATGCATTCACCTCACCACCATACGGATAGGGTACATGCCAATGCCCAGGATCTTCTCTTCAGGAAGGGTGTAAGAAAGCCTCCCGCTACCACTTGTCACTTCTGTGCCATAATGTACCCATTTCCCTGACAATGGCTGTGGCATTATGTAGATATCCACCTGGAAAGAAAGATGAGCACAGTGTTCACCTCATTGCATGTACTGTTATACCACACAGTTAGCCACAAATAACTCCTTGAGATTGCTAAATGACAGTTGTTATTACGATAAAAGGAGAGAGCACAAACCCTTCCTTCACTCCCATCTTCTCCTTAAGTTGGTTTTTAAAAATCCATTTTCTACTTATAAGCTTTTCATATTCATTCCTCTGAAAGGGATAGGCAAAATTCCTATATTTTTATTTATTTCTACTACCTGTTTCTTACAACAGCTCTGTCCTTCTGGAAAACATCTGTTCTTTGCCTTCTGTGGAGGGTCTCATATTGCAATAGTTTTCTCCTCTTAGTTTTAATGTGAATGGCTTCCTTTAGTCTCCCCTCCCCAACCCCCCCCTCTAATTTTAGATTGCTAGCTCATATTATTGATGAGTTCCAGGCTCATATCATTAATGGTTGTAATGGAACTCTAGCCCTGGAGAAATGGGGGATTCGCACTGAGGTGATCTGAAAACTGGTTCTACGGTAGATCCCCTGAGAACAAGGCAGCTGTCTCGGTCACCTAAACACAAGAACTAGGGAAGTTTTCACAACAAATCTAAGAATCCCTCCGGAGGCCACATTCTATCCCATGGTCTTGGCTTAGCTTTAAATTTGTACTTGCAACGCTACTTATTTCTGTTGCCCTCCTTCCCTCCTTAGTCCCGGGAAAGCCTTGCCCTTGGTCCAGTATCGGTTCTTCTTCCTTCTGCCATTGCAGAGGGCAGAGGGAATGGTCTTGAAGGACAGGAGGAAGAGTTGCCACCAAGACAACAGTCAGATAAAAGGAGCCTGAGCTCAGGCCAAGAAAGCAACTTGACAAAACCTCTCAGACAAACCCTCCCTCGTTCATACAGAGATATTCAGACTTCCAAGATTCTGCTGTTACAACCGTTATAGTAAAAGTAGCACTAGCCCACATGACATTTTGGTTTCCAGGTCTGGTCTACCTTGAAGGACTAAACAGCCATTCACAAGTGAAACATTTTACATAATGTTTGCACGCCCACCAGGAAAGAGAAGGCTTACAGCATGTAAAATGCTGGTTGCTCAGGTTCATGCCAGCATTACACCTCACCCCTGTTCACTTGTCCTCGTAAATCAAATTAAAACCTTGGTTACCTTCTCTCCAGTGAGAGTTACCACATCAAGTGGACCGTACATGAAGCGCCCGCTAAGGGCTTGGGGTCGTCCCTCGCACACAATCACATCACTGGCACGATGGTTCGCTGTAACATTCTGAAAAACAAAAAGCCAGACATTATTATTAAGCTCATCGTTGCAAAACTGGACAAGGGGAGAATTTCTCAGGAAATGGCTGTCTGCAGTGAGATTGCAACAGAGCTGGTTTGAGAATTTAAATACCTTGATTCCCAAATCATGAATGAAACCCATGCAACAACTAAGAGTTATTTAGAGCAGGCAGGAGAATTTTACTACATAATAGCTCTCTGTTCTTCTAGCTGCATTAGAAGGACATTTATGGGACTGAACAAATCTTTTTGGGGGGGATGCGTTGTGTGCCAATTTGGTTAACTATATAAGTCTTTAAAAATAAAATCAGTAGCCATAGGAATTATAGGGATATCTTGTACTGAGTTTTTCCTACTAATAAAACAACCACCGTTATATTCCACTAGAGAAGGCAGCTTATTGCTTTTTATGTATTATGAGTAAAGGATTTTCATCCTACATTTAGCACTATGACCCTAGTTTGCCAATAGCTCATGTTTTGGGTGTCAATGCTCACAACCATCACAGCCCATAACAGCTTGCTGCTAATTCATTTCAGGGGCCAAACCTAGAAAAAAATCAAGATGTTATGAAAGTGAAGTAAGTCTCCCGATCAATATCAAAAACCTAGAACATCATACGAATAATATTATCTGAGTAAAATCAGATTTTGAATTGCGACAACAATAGGTTGTTCCTGCAGAATCAAAATGATTGTCATAATGTTTTAGGGGAGTTAAAGGCAAACAATGTGAGATCGACACTGGTGACGGATTCAGGAACATTATGAGCAGGAAATAAATATGATCAGACTACGTATCTTCCTACAAAGCCAGTAGAGCAGTGTTTCTCAACCTTGACAATTTTAAGGCATGTGGACTTCAACTCCCAGAATTCCACAGCCAGCAATGCTGGCTGTGGAATTCTGGGAGTTGAAGTCCACATGCCTTAAAATTGTCAAGGTTGAGAAACACTGTAGTAGAGCAACCTAAGCCAGACCTCAACATGCCCTGAAAACTACGAGAGAAAAGACCCAAAGAAAGCTGAGAGAAGAAGACACAGGAGGTTCGTACCCGGATCTTCACTTGCGTCCGTTTGCGCTGCCACTTTTCACGGGGAAATGCTGGACTGTAGATCGAACTCTCCTCGTTTTCAGTCACTTGGTGCTGCTCTGTCTCAATCACCTGCAATCAGAGACGGTACATTCTAGGCCGCGAAAACATACCGGGCAAAAAGGACCGATGTCCAGATTTGCCCTGCTTTAATATGTAGCCAGTATTTTAAAGGGGACAATCCCTTAATTTTCGGCATCAAGGCTGCTTCAAAAGCGGACAAGGCAAGCATGCTTTGCCGTGCTTCTACTAGCCTTGGCAGGAAAAGTGCTGGGATCCCTCTTGTCTCTGAGGCACGGCTTCTTCCTGGTATTCTTCCAAATGCAATTTTTGCTGAGTTGGCGCTTGTTAACGAATATAGCATTTAATCTATAACGGGCAATACAAAATTAAGGGCCACCTAGCTATCTACAGAATTGCAATTTGGGGAGAAGCAGCCAGAGTTTTAAAGGTCACTGATGTTTTATTATACACCACGATGCCAAAAGGCACAGCATAATGCAGTAAGTAGTTGGGTATTCACAAAAGCTGCTTCTTTGTTGTTGCGGTGTATAGCTGCATGGACACCTGTAGAGTCATAAACAAAAGTTGGCTTCAAAATAAAGCCAAGTAAAATGCTGTGAGTAGTGGGAAATTGTGCAGTGGCTTTGTGTCCTGTAACAGCCTGTGCAATTGCTGTATGTAACACACCCACAATTATACACAGCGGAATCTAACTTTAAATATAAAATTGCACGCATACTGAAACCTACACAAGTGTGTGGGTGTGTGCTGAAAAGCAGCAAAAACAAGCCTCCTTCCCCCCCTGCAAGCATTTTCCAGCTTGCAGAACATTGTTCCTGTTTGACATTCAAGAAAAGAGAGGAAAAATGCTAAAGGCATTACGATTTAAAAATCTTTCCATAATTGTAATTTTATTAAATTAAAAAAAAAACGGAAGGAGAAATAGAAATTCTGGTAGCAGAATGGAGTGGGAGGTGCACTGTGTGTCTTACAAAGGGGAAGTTGGTCCCTGGTTGTTCTCTACAGATAATCCTTGACTTATGACCACAACTGAGCCCAAAATTTCTGTGGCTAAGCCGAATATTTGTTAAGCAAATTTTGCGCCATTATACTTTTCTTGCCACGGTTAAGTGAATCGCTTAACATGGCTGTTAAGTGAATCTGGTTTTCCCATTGACTTTGCTTGTCAGACGGTGGCAAAAGGGGATCCCGTGATCCTGGGACACCGCAACTGTCACAAATACATGCCGGTTGTCAAGTGTCCGAATGTTGATCACATGACCGTGGCGATGCTGCAACAGTCGTAAGTGTGAAAAACGGCCGTAAGTCACTTTTTTCAGAGCCCTTGTAACTAAATGAACTGTTTTAAGTTGAGAACTACCCGCGCTGTAGTGGGCCTTTCTCTATTGGAGGGAGATGCTAAGAATTAAGTGTAGGACCTTTGGAAATCTAAGGACATGATTTAGCAGCTAAAACTCTTGAGTCTCAGAACTCATTTAGGCTTGACCTGTCAAGGTAAGATTTAGCCACCAAAGCACACCCCGTTTCTTTGCCTTCTACCTTAGATCCCTTCCAAAGGAGGGTCCTGCCTCATTTCAAAGGCAGTTTCGGCTTTCTGTGATTCCACGATGTCAGGCGCGGTCAAGAGATGAGCCGATATATTTCCAACTCAAAAAGGGGGTGTTTAAAAACGGCGAGAAAATTCCTCCCTTCCTTTATTTTTTCTTGAGCAAATACTCTTCCCCTTTTTGCATTTAACAAGATATATGCAGAGCGTGAGAGTGTCACATGGATATATCCGGGTGCAACTGCGCGCAAGCCATCTGTTTCATTCTCCTTTTGCCCAGAGAGGTGGGTGGTGGGACTTCTTTTACTGCAAGACCTATAGCAGTGGTGGTGAACCTATGGCACGGGTGCCAGAGGCGGCACTCGGAGCCCTCTCTCTGGGCACACGTGCCGTTGCCCCAGCCTTGCCTCCCCCCGCGACCCCCTCACCAGCGGCTCCCCTGGAGGAGAGTTGCCCCTGAGCGTGGCCCACATGGAGCAGCGCAGCCAAGGACATGGCAGCCAGGCATCTTAGACAAGACTCTGCCCTCATGCCCCATTGCGCACAGTTGATGCTGCAGGGTGTGGGCAGAGGACGTGGCCGCCATGGTACTGCTGGGCTGCCTGGGTAATCTGCGGCGGGCCCTGGAGGCGGTGAATGGCCCCGCGGGCAGGCGGGGTGGGGGTGGAGTGGGGGCGGGGCCAGTTTTGGGGCACTCGGTCTCTAAAAGGTTCGCTATCACTGACCTATAGCAATCTGACAGTGGATCAGTGGTACTTTGCCTGACAGCCTGAAAGGCAATCTCCAGATCATCTTTTAAGCTACCTTTGAGGGAAGCTCGCTTGGTTGCCTCTAATCCAGGGGGGTCAAACTCAATTTCACTGAGGGCCGCATCAGCATTGTGGTTGCTTTTGGGGGGCCGGGTGGGTGTGGCCAAAGTGGGTGCAGCCTACTGGGTGTGGGTGGATGGAGTGGGGTGTGGCCTACTGGGTGAGCATGGCCAGTTCTACATCATTTGCTTCAAGGGTGCCTGGGCAGGAGTGGGACAGATCTGAGGGTCTCTGGTAGAAGGGGGTGGGACCGGGGCAAGTGCCAAGATGGCCATCACAAAATTGTAAATTGGCTCCCGGCTGGCCTGGGCCAGGGCCAAGGTAGTGGGAGCCGTTCCCTCATTGTTTCCAGGATGGCTTCACGGGCCACATGAAACCACTTCGCGGGCCGCATCCGGCCCCCGGGCCTTGTGTTTGACATGTCTGCTCTAATCAAATCAAACAAGTACAGGACCTACATTACACAGGACATACACACACGTTCATTTCCATCTGGCTTGCAACGGCCCACCTGGCGTAAGATGAAGGCAGCCACATCAGCACTTTCCCAATAGCTGGCGTGGAAAAGGTGAGGCAGGGTGATGGTGGGAAAGGCCGTGAGTGCCTCAGGGCAGTAGAGAGAGTAGTCGATGCGTTTAGAGCCCCACCAACGATCCAGAACTAGACCAAAGGGGAGGAGAAACCATATTAGGATGATGCCCCTGAAGATGCCTCTATCCTTTCCCTTTCTCCTCTAAAATGGGTAAAAAGGCATGTTTGACTGCTTTTATTGGTCATCCTTTTTTTAAATTTCTCTATTATTTTACCCTTAAAAAAACATATAAAGATACAAAATACAAGGGAAAACAATCCCTGAAAAAGAAATGGCAAAGGAACGTTACCCCCATGGGCAGGGGTAGGCAACGTTGGCTCTTTTATGACTCGTGGACTTCAACTCCCAGAATTCCTGAGCCAGCTATGCTGGCTCAGGAATTCTGGGAGTTGAAGTCCACGAGTCATAAAAGAGCCAACGTTGCCTACCCCTGCCTATGGGCATTAATGCATCGTATTTTTCATCTTATAAAGCTACATAAAAACATTAAAAACATTAATACAAATATAGTCCTTTGCAGATATTAGATATTAGTATTCTCAAGAAGCACTACATTACATTGGCCAAGACCTCAAAAATGTGTGCCAAAACAGAAATGAACAATGCATTTAAAAAAAAACTAGCAAAACGCGTCTTTTCAATGGCTATTATCGAGATACATGAATGAAGTTACAACGTGGGAGATTGCTGAATTCTTCAGGTTAGGGACAATGCTGACTAGCAGCAAACCATATCCATGTTGTGACATATGCTGGAGCAGAATTATAGAGAGGAAGCTCATTTCCACAACATCTATTTCTTTCCAGCAAGTTAATGTTACCTATGTGCTTAATAAAAGCCCAAAGAGGTGACTCTAAGTGAAATCTCAGCAGAACAGCAGCTGCTGAACAGTTTCATTAATGCTTAATACCTTTTATATTTATCCTGCTCCCCCCAAAGAAATCACAAAAGACTCAAGGATCAAAGGGCACTTGCCATTAAATGAATCTTTACTTTTAAGCTGCAGTTGCTTAAAAGTACAATTAGCATTGATTTCTAGACATTAATACAGATACGGCAAAGGAATTCAATATTCTGTTCCTTCACTGGGGTCCCTTAATGGAAGCTATAGCCTTGTTTTTAATGATTAAATTCTGATACGCATCAGTCCCCACCTACAACTAATGACTGATGTTTAAAAGAAAGATACAAACCTCACACACTTAATGCAAATATTCTTTTAACATCGTATCTAGTTTGGTGCTAGCTGCCAGAGCTTCTGCAGGAATGTTTAAAGCTGTTTTATAACATTCTGTTCCAGCCAAATTGAAGTGGCCCGCTCTGTCCAGAAGTACACTCTTAATCACCATAATGGCCATTGGATATTTTTGAGCACTCCAGAAGTGATACAAAGTGGCTCAGTGTGGCCAAGCTGTGGAATTTGGGTCTTCCCCTCAATGAACAAGTATTTTCTTGGCACCCAAATAAATTGCAACCTTGCAAAATGTACTCATTTGCTTCACAGAAACAAGAACCTTTGTTCAGATTTCTGACTGAATCTTCAATGAATCTATTCAAGGGCCAGGCACTTCATTCTGATCTGCTGACATGAGAGAACAGCTTTATACACCAGTATCTCGGATACAAGAGAGACACAGAAAAGACATGTAACTTCCTAGCACTTCAACTAAAAAAACTAGAGGACCACATTTTCTAATATTGTTTGTAAAGCCTAAGGAAATTAAAACAGGACTAAACCTGCCAAAAAATTAAGAATTTTTAAAAGAAAATAATGCTTTTTAAATGCAGAAAACTGATGACCTTTCCTATCACACCTTTCCTATAATACCAAATGGCCTGCTACCGTGCTCTAAGCTACGGGTGTCAAACTCGCGACGCGACGTGACGTGTCGTGATGTATCGTCACTTTCCCCCCCATTGCCGACAATGGGGTGGGTGCGGTTTTGGCGTGATGCATCCGGCCCATGGGCCAGCAGTTTGACATGCCTGCCCTAAGCTGACTAAAACAACCAACAGATCAAATCTGGTTTTGAGGAAATTAGTACAAAAAGGCAACAAGTGACTCACTTTTGACAACTTCATTGGTGCTGCTTGCAGTGTTGTCACTCGCCGTTCCCTCATTTCCTTTCCAGAAGCCTCCAAATGCACCTGTTGGAGTGGGTGGAGTCACAAGGTCTAGCTCACTCACAAAGAGGGAAGAATGACTCTGCAAGGCGTCGGCTAGTTCAAGGAGAAACACATAAGCAGAGGTGAACACCGTGATGGCGTATTTCCAATCCTCCACTGCTGTACTACGATATCAGCCTTTCCTAAATTCACTGTCTCCAGCTGTATTGGAATTGTAATTCTCCTAATTTCTTTTGGGGAATTAACTCAGCAAGGCAGCGGAAGGTTGCTATTCCTTAAAAAGAAGTGCGTACACATGCACACACACATATCCATCTCATACACTCACAGCATAGCAGTAGTTTCAATGATGACATGGATCCCGTGATGTACGGGGGAAAAGCTGGACTAGGATCATAGAAACTCAGTTCTAGT